CCAAGAAGCCATAAAAGATTTGGTTGCCTTTTGTCAAGAAAAATACCAAGGCAATACAAAGGAACTCAAATTAATCAATGAATTTGAACGTACTTATCATCCAACATTGGCCTTATGGTGGTATACACGACAATGTTTTACATACAAAATGGTCAATCGAGCATTACGAACACTCGACGGTGACATTATTATCCGAATGGGATTTTTCCTGTGTGATGTTCATCGACAAATTGAAGCTTTACACAGCAAACAGGTCAGTCAGTATCGTAGGAAGTCCTTTCTAGTTTATCGGGGGCAGGGGTTATCGAAAGACGATTTCGAGAAACTCGCAAAAAACAAAGATGGTCTCATATCTTTTAATAATTTTTTATCCACCAGTACAGATCGTGATGTCTCCTTCGCTTTTGCTGAAGGCACCTTAGGAGCAACGGATATGGTTGGTATCCTCTTTCAAATGACCATCGATCCCACAGTCTCATCGACTCCTTTTGCCTCCATCCAGGAGGTGAGTTATTTCAAGGACGAAGAGGAAATTCTCTTCTCGATGCATACCGTCTTTCGAATTGGTGAAGTTCGAAAACTTCACAAGGAAAATCCACTTTATCAAGTGGACCTTAAACTTACGTCTGATGATGACCAACAACTTCGTCGATTAGCCGATCGTGTAAGAGAAGAGGTCGACGGCAGCGGCTGGTACCGAATGGGTAAATTATTATTGAAAATAGGTCAATTCGGTAAAGCTGAGGAATTGTATATCGCGCTACTAGAACAGACAACCAACGACACTGCTACAGCACGTATCTATAATATGCTTGGAGAGGTGAAACACGAGCAAGGACAATACAAAGAAGCACGATCATTCTACAAAACAGCTCTTGAAACGTATCGAAAAACTCTACCGAAAGATGATCCAACGTTGTCTGAAATTTATCAAAATATTGGTGCAGCGCATTGTTCCATGAGTAACTATTCGAAAGCACTTGAATATTTCAAGACAGCACTCATGATAAGAGAAAAGGTCCTGTCGTCGAATCATCCCGACTTGGCTGAGTCCTACTCCTGTATCGGCTTAGCCTATAACAACATGGGTGACTACTCAAAAGCACTTGAATTTTACGAAAAATCACATAAAATCTTCGAAAAAGCTCTGCCTCCAAATCATCCCTCATTGGCTAGTTCCTACAGCAGCATTGGTGGAGTGCATAACGCCATGGGTGACTATTCGAAGGCACTTGAATTTTACGAAAAATCATATAAAATCTGCGAAAAAGCTCTGCCTCCGAATCATCCCAGTTTGGCTTATTCCTACAGCAACATCGGTGGAGTGTATCACCACATGGGTGACTACT